GACACTTCAAACTTACCAACAAAATTCATCTTTCTAGCTAACTCCTCAAGGATGACAGTATTCCCAGTTTTAGAAATATCAGAAGCAAACTTGTTATAATCAAGTTGAGGAGCTTTCATCCCCTTCTCTAACATTTCCTCTAAATACCGACATGCATCACTAGACCTGTCCTGTCTTATAAGCCCACCAATGAGTACAGCATAGGAATTATCATCAGGACAACACCCCTTCTGATGCATCTCATCCCAAATTACGTGACCCATTTCATAATTTTTTGTCATAAAATAGGACTTCATTATCATGTTGTAGGAGTGAACAGTTGGTTCAATGCCACTTTGAATCATTTTCTTGTATATTCTCACTGCATCATCTGGCATATGCTGGCTAGTCATCAATTTTATCAAAGCATTGTAGGTCCTCCCATCGGGTGAACAACCTCTTTCCCTCATTTCCTTCAGTAGATTGTATACCATATCCATTTTCTTCTGCCTCCCAAACCCAGTGATCAAGCACGTGTAAAGCGCAACATCAGGTTGGCACCCTTGATCTACCATTTCATCAAAATATTCTATAGCTTCTCTTGTCATCTTCTGCTTGCAGAAGTCCTGTATAATAATTGTATAACTCCGAACATTGGGTGAAGGACCTTTGGCCTTCATAATTTCAAATAACTTGATGGCATCAGACTTCTTCTTGCACTTCAACAACCCCTCAAGCATAACATTGTGCGCAACAATATCCGGCTTAAATCCCCCATCAATCATCTCATTCCACACCCTCCCTGCTTCCAGCAAGTTTTTCAACCTGCACCAACCACTAAGAAGTATGGTGTATGTTTGCAAGTTGGGTGTAAATCTATCTCTCAATTTCTCAAAAACAGCTTGCGCTTCTTTACCGAGTTTTGCAGTGCCAAGACTTTCAAGCAAGAAATTAAGCACATCAACACCCACTTTAAACCCATGCTTCTTCATCAGATCGAAGATCCCCACAGCCTTCTTCCTTTGCTTTGCTTCAGCAAAGGCTTTAATAGCAATGGAGAAAGTCTCCATTGTCAAAAGACCCTTCTCACCCATTTCCTCAAGCAATGCCACCATTGTCTCAAACTGTCTAGTCCTCCCAAGAACACTCATCATGCAGTTATAAGTTCCGGAATCATGAGCAAACCCAGGCCTCTTCCCCGCCCAACAAAAGAACCGAAAAGCCGGCTTCCTAGCATGCTTAAACCTTTGCAGCACCTCCACAACCAAATCATGCGACAATTGAACCCCGCATTCATCAAGAACCGCCTCCATGTTCCTATCTAACGCAAACAATTCGTCAATCACCTTGCATACCCTATGAACCTCATCAAGATCTACACAAGATTCACCACTGACACCTCTATCATCACAATCTTCCTCAAGCCCAGAATCAGCATCACTAGCAAATGTCCTACTATTGTTCAAAAACTGAAACTTTTCATGATGAAAAGGGGAAAGGGGTAAGGCGGAAAAAGAGCCCAGACGGGGAATCAGCAGCTTTTTTTGAAAAGCAAGGAGTGGAGAGGGGTGTGGCAAAAGAAGTGAAATTTGACAACGAGAATGATGGAAAGCGCAATTAGGAGAAGCACGAAGCAAACGAGACAAGGGCAGAGAGCTACCACAAGGTAAGCGCACTTGCTCTCCTCCTCTTTGCGGTAGTCGTCTCCGATGGAAAGAGCGAAGCTCGGTGGCGGAGAAGACACAGCACCGGCCATGTTGACGTGGCAGTGGAGAATGCGTGTGGTGTCGCAGGAAGAATGTCAAAGGTAGAATGTTGGAAGAGGTTCTTGTTGTGTGGCCAAGAGAGAGAGTCATCGAGGTGCCATTCACATCACAGGCAGTAGAATTAGTAAGGAAAAAGAGTAGCGACTGAAGTTAGGTGTTTCGATGGAAAAAATTATGGGTTTGATAAAAAAAACTAAGAACAAAAAATGGCGATTTTTGTAAAAGAAATATTCTAATTGAAACTTGAAGTTAAAATCTGTAATAATTATATATAAAAAAATTACACTCATATAAAATGTCCACTTAAATTATCTTAAACAACAGCTACCGATAGCAAAATTTGTTTTAAAAAGTAAATACTAACAAATTCAAAATTTATTAGAGAATATTAATTATATTTATAATATCAATATGAATTGTTAATTTATTAAAATAATACTTCTTTGAAACATATAATAATAAGATAATAAATAATAATTAACATTGATTGATAGGTTTATAATTTTGAGTTGTCAACTATGATGATATTTGTTTATTAGTTATGTAACTTTATTAAATATGTTTGAAGTTGTTTTATATATATTTCAAGTGAAAATAATTAAAAAGCTTGGTTAAATTGATCAAGAGTACACTCTTATAAAAACTAACATGCATAATTATATAGACTTTTTGGACAAACATACAACTTTTTAAGTGAGAATGTATAATTTGAAGTTAGAGAGCTCCAACTTTTTGATTTGTTGGATGAGTCATTCTTTGTTGGACGAGCTTATCAAAAGCAATCCTAAAGAGTATACCTGTGAGCGAGACAAAGTTTAGTTGGGCGAGTCTGAAATCACTAAAAAAGCAAGAGTAAGATGTGTACTTGCCATGTTGAGCAAAAGAGTCTTGTTAGACAAATTTTTAAAGAATTTATTCTCAGTACTTTCTCGTTGGGCAAGCATGTATGTCGTTAAGTGAAAATGTTTTAAGCAAAGTCAAAGAACATTAAGGTGGCCTTCTCACTAGGCTGTGGTCACTAGACGAAGAGAACATTAAGGTAGCATTCTCACTAGGTTGTGGTCACTGGACGTGCATTATGGTTTCTAGGCTAGTCCCCTTCTAGGAAACACTGGCTGAGCGAGACATGACTTCACTAATCGAGAATTAACTTATCTGAAATGATATAAATTTTTGAAATCTAGTAGTTTTTGTCATGATTGATATGAATAGGCTAGTCCCCTTTCAGGGAACACTGGCTAAACGAGACATGACTTCACTAATCGAGAATTAACTTATCTGAAATGATATAAATTTTTGAAATCTAGTAGTTTTTGTCATGATTGATATGAATTGAATAAAGTAGTGATGATTTCTAGGGTGGTAATACTAGCATGGTTGTATCATGTGTAGTGTATTGAAACTAAAATGAGATCATCCTGACTCTACTAATAATTGGATTCACCTAAGAGAAAATAACCAGTAGTGATAGTCGATGGAGGTTCATACCTAGAGTGTCGATATTAGTCAAGCTCATGAGACATAAAATTTATCATGTCATGCTCTATGGATCATGGAGCAACTTGAACATGTTATAGTTATAGCTTCTAAGAGACAAAAGTGATTAAGTAATGACATGTGCATGGTCTCAGAGTGCTAATTAATACATTAGTCTTTCAGAGATTTGTGTTGTTCTTGATATATGAATAGGATACGAGAGCCTTATGTTTATATGTAAATTTTATGATTTGTAAAAATTAGGTAGTTATTTTATGAATTGCTAGTATATTTTCTTTTTATTTAAAACTTATAAGTTTTAAATTAACTCTAATTATATACTTCATATGATTGTATACTTCACACGAGCAGAAGATAATGTGAGTTATCGAGAAGAGCATATTTGAGGTTGGCCATGAAAATTGCATGTATGGATAATTTAATATAGATAAAGATAGTCGTGTAATGCATTAATTTACTACTTTCTTTTCTTTTAAAATACTACTTGATACCTTTGGAGGTTTATACATTATGTTATAAATTATATACTATACTTGTATACTTGATATAATTATATAATTACCTCTTAATTGTAGTTTTGGATGTCAAAATTGGGTCGTTGAAATTTATATCATAATTTTAATTGTATTAAATAATTCATTTCTAAAAAGAAAATAAAGTTGAAATTATGAAAAATAATATTTCACTATACAATGTTTAATATCTTTGGTAAGAAAAAAAATTATTGGCTTTTTTTCATAAAGAAAATATTTAATAATTTTATAATTACAAAAAACTGTAAAATCTAATTCAAATCAAGCTAAAAAAATAATGATTTCATTTCAGTCAAATTTTAAATTAAATTAAAATTAAATAATATTCGAATTTTATATTTGGTTGGGATGATTATTGAATAAAAAATGAAACCACCTACGTCCTTCTAATTATTGGAATTTTAGTGGTTTAAAAGTCGTTTTAAAAAATGAAATAAAATTAACTTCGCACAAAATTGTTACATAATCAGCCGTGTATCTGGGGCAGCATCTATTGTGAACAAAATTGGTGGGTTTAAATTAAATGCCTCATCTACCCTCCTCTCTTATAAAAAACAATCACATTTCCCCAGAAATTATTCTTAGTGACTAAACACTTCTTCAATTAAAAATTGAAGAACAACCAAACCCAAATGGGAATATAGAAATACCCGATTGAACAACATGGATTCTAGATTTTCAATATAGTCCTTGAATGCTTTTAGCCATTCCGCACCAATTGCACCTGAACAGAACAAGTGTATTGTTGACATGCTTTACCACAAAATTAGCTTAATTTTGAGTTTAAAAAAAACATCATTGAATGATTACAATCTATAACACGATGATCACAGCTGAGGGTCACAGACATGAAAGAACCAAACTTGAATTCTTCAGCACCTGATCCCGGAATGACCCTCCTCTCAGCTGCTCATGTAGTCAGCGACACACGAAGATAATCATTAAGAGAAAAGAGATTGCAGTTGATATAAGAAAAATCAAAAACAGTTGATATAAGATATAAAACTCAGTTTCTTGTACTGTTTTTACAATGCTGGTAATGAGGTTTGAATTTGTGACGACATACTATGCATAACTAAGTTAATATCTCGTACACAACCGATTTAAGCTGAAAGAGCTCTTTTAGAGATTTGTGAGACAAGGATTTTGGACCACAATTGCAAGTCAGATAGCTGAACCCTCCCCTTGAAGGTTGAGCCATGTAACAACATTTCGCTAGAATCCATTTCACTGTACTGCATTCTGCATTTTCACAACTGATAATTATTGTGTACACTTAATTTTTATTCAATCAACACCAATTACCTTCCTTTTCTTTATTTATTGTTGAGTTAGTACCATTTTGTTATAATTTTATTCTAGTTTGTAGTTAGTTATAAATAAGATTTTATGAAAATATTTACTTGTGTGACTTTTGCAGACTATTTATTATAATAAAGATAAGAAAGGAATGGAAGGTATGTAACTAGATGCAATACATAACTTTAGTTGAAACACACAGGTGGAAGACAGAAAAATAATTTACATTGAATCCAAGGCAAGCAAAACACCCAACATCTTTCTTATTCTGCATAATCTGTTTAATAAAGTTAGTCGGAATTTGGTTCTGTTTTACTATGATCGTAATGTAGCCAAAGAGACACAATAGGGGTCCCTTTTACAAAAATTGGTCCATTTAACTCAACACTTAGACATTTATTTCTAAGCTAACAAAAAATAAGAGAAAAGTCATTTAATATGATTTTAACTGTCATAAAGCATTCCACAAGTATTATTTATTAGATAAGATAATGACATTCCCTACTTTTTAAGCACCAAATAAGCAACCAAGAAGACAAGAAGAGATATAATGTCAGATAAAAATCTAATACCTTGATTACAAGGTCAACCGATATGCGGGAGCCACCAGAGGCTTCTTGCAATGAATTGAGTTTGCACCGCAAACTGTAGACAAAGTGTTCCAATTATCAGAAGTAATATGTATGGCAGGTAAAACTTTCAAATATTGATTATGGGGAATCACCTCATGAGTTTATCAACACATGCATCCACTGATAAATAGTAATGAGGAATAGTTTGCTTTGATAATAACAGCCGTGAAGCTGGACCTGTAAAAATACATAGTTTTATTTAAAAACATCACTCATGCTTACGCAACACAACATATATTATGATCAGAACTTACATAGAAGTGAACACATAGAAGGAGAAAATAAAATATGCAAGTAGTTATGAGAAAAAGTACCAAGAAGCCGTATGAAACTATGTTCATAACAAAATTAGAACATCATTTGACATGGTCCAAAAACTGGTCTTTGATTTACACTTGAAGCAGAAATATCATCTAATAAAATTTCAGGATTTCTTCAGCAAATTACCTTCCGTATCTGAGAGACAGGAATGTTGATATAATCCAGAGATGCATTTGTTTCACCCTTGGTCTTTCAGGGTGCGGAAACTTGACTAGAAGCTGCATCAGAAGCTAAAAAGGGTTATAATCAATTTAATCAGCCACACATGCTAAGATATCCTACAGCAAGCAAGACAAAGTGAGGCATTATCTAGCATAACAATGAAGTGTTTCAACTATAATATGTACAGTATACAGACAAATTAATATACATAAAATGATAGAATTGTACCTAAGAAATCTTCAATATCAGCCTTCACAATGAGTCCTTCATTTCCTGTTCCTTTAATGATAGAGAGTGGTACCTACATCAGTGAGGGAAATAGATTATCTGCGTCTATTCTGAAAGACCTTCAACCGTATAATTTGTTATTGATAACTGACATTTTTCTCTTCAGCCAACTTCTAGCAAGAGGACTATAATACGCGATCTCCAGATGAGTTGGCACACTTGGTTTGGAAACCTTTGCCTCAGGTTCAAAAGTGCCAACCATTACCACGCCAATAATTTCTTGCGTTTTCAAGTGAACGGGCATGTTTGATCTTCAGAAACAGCTTGTAAGCCATCTCTGTTTTCTTTGTAGCAAGCAGCCTGTTGCTTAGTTTACTAAATACTAGCCTCCTTGGGCAAAACCTTTTGCCCAAAGCCTCCTCCATAACAAGAACAGCATTTTCCAGTTGTCCAACATTGCAAAGACCACTGATGATATACTCATAAACTTCCAAATCTGAACTGTACCCACATTCTTGCATCTCCTCCCATATGCTCAACAATGTTCCACATTTTCCTACGTCAGAAAGCCGCATAAGCAGTATCTTATAAGCTTCCATTGATATCACACACCCTGATTTTCTTGCCTTCTTGTATATCACCAAAGCAGCATAAGGTGGACCATAGCTGCACAATCGTTTGATAAAGGTTGTTATGGTCCCAATAGACGGCACCACACCTCGCTTCAACATCTCATCGAACATCTGAAGCGCATCAGCCACTTTCCTCACTCTGAGAAACGCATTAATTATTCTATCAAACGTATCAAGATCAGGTTCACAGTTATCACTCAACATCCTATTATAATACTTCATGCACTCCTCAAAATTCCCAACAGACACAAAATTGAAAATCATTGCATTATAAGCAGGAGTATCTGGTTGGCAATTCTTCTCCTTCATACCACAAAAAACTTTAACAGCTTCATCCATTCTACCTACCCTCCCCAAGCTCTCCATAAGGAATCCAAACGTCCTACAATCGGGTGCAACCCCATCAGCCTCCATTTCCCTCATAATCCTCTCAACCTCACCCACCTTACCAATCTTAGACCACCCACCAACAACCACATTGTATGTACCAACATCAAAACACACCTTCCCCTTCACCGAATTCAACACAGAATTGGCAGCACCAACATGAGAACGATGACATAGACAAGATAAAAGCACGTTCAAAGCCTCGGTGTCACGCCGAACCCCAAGATCATCCATGCTCCCAAAGATCTGAATTGCCCTAGACACATAACCAGCCCTAACAAAACTATCAATAACAATAGACAACATCAACAAATCACCATCAATGCCACGTTTTCTCATGTCACACAACACACCCATCATAAACACAAAAAACTTTCTTCTTCCTAGTGCCTTAACAATCACATGGTAACTAGCAACATCATTGGGTACCCCTGGTTGTTTAATTGCCCAGTTGAAAAACCTAACCATAGATTCACCACCGAGGTTCCCATTGTTCAGTACTTTACCGAGAATGCTAACGTCCATGTCAGCACCAACATTGGACAAAGCAGTTTCGATTGCAGCCTTGCCCTTTAGCTTCTGGAGGAAGACTCCGCGCAGTTTGTCTTCGGCGGGTAAAAACGCGTCCACCGATTTCGCGTCTGGTTGTGGCGGTTTGAGGGGTTTCGAAACGGGGTTTTGGGATTTGGAAGTGGGAATGGGAAAAAGGTGGGAAATTTGGTCGAGGACGAGGCGCTCGTCGATATGGGGAGGGTGGTGGTGGGGAGAACAGGATGGCACGTGGAGAGAGGAGAGTGGGGAACGGCGCATGGAGAGATGAGGACGGTGGTTCTGTTTCGTGAAGCGCGCGAGGAAGAGGAAAGATCGAAATGACATTGGGGGCACCAGGATCACGACAGTAAATCGGACATCAGTGTCTGCGCCAATAGATTATGTAGAGAATACTCTTTGAAGTACCTTCTGTAAAAGGTTTAAGTGACGAATTTAATTACCACTGATCATTTTCTAACATGACAAGTTATACAATGTATACACGTAGAGTTGTGAATTGAGCCCATATGAAAGGATTTGGCCCTCACTCACGTGGATCGGGTTTAAAAAGACCTAGAGACCAAACAAAATATTTTATTAAAAAAGCCCGTAGACTAAATATTCCGAAAACTCTATGGGTTAGGGCTAGTTCATTCCTTTTTACTAAATTTTATATACAGAAACAGAAAAAAAAAATTTCAAGGTAACCCAATAGTAAGTCTGTTCAAATAATGGGTATTACAGATTCATAAAATTTGAGCTTTAAATAATGGGTATTACAGATTCACAAAATAG